AACTCATGCAGCTGGCTGGCCACATAAGTCAAGTACGTAGCCTGGCATAAAATGGGGTTATGCCTTTAATTATGCATGCATGCATGCATACATACATACATACATACATATACATACATATATATATATATATATATATATATATATATATATATTAAGCTGTAAAGCCCTCGTGGAGCCACCAGGCCCACCACCTCCAATGCTCCAGCTAAATTATTCCCTCGGAAATGGCTACGGTTTTGTTCCTTTTGGATTAGCATACAATAAGCCTTAATGAGGGCCTGCAATCCGACTCCACTCTGATTAAGTACCCGATCTATAATTCCAACTTAGCTAGAGATGATGTCAAAATCTTAATTATTAATTTTTTAACATGTCAGTAAATTTGTTAGCATTTTATTCTTTTATTAATTAAATTTATGTTGTTCGATTGTGATATTTTTTTATTATTTTTTTTAATAAGAATCAACATGATTAATGTACATTATAGTTCATGATCTAGTATGATAATGTTTCTCTACATATGTGACCTTCTTTCTTATACACAAAGGCAGGAATTACTTTCCCTAATTATCGGGTTAATGTACTAATCGGGGTAAGGGTCAAAGGTCAAATTAGCACAGCCAAGTTGGTAAAGATATGACTCTCGCTTCCAAAACAGAATACTAGCTAGCATCAAAGTAAATATTATAGAATCATCCGAGCTTATTCTCTAATATTCTACTTCAGTATAGCAATCTTGGATTCTAAAATGATAAAGATTTGTAGAAATACAGATAAGCAGAAAATCCTCAATGATATTATTCTTTTCACTTTTATATGTATTTTGACACATATTTTTATAAAGTTCACTTCGTAATGTATTTCAACGATCAAAACGTCTATCTTTTAGGTCTTTCCTCAAGAATTATGTCTATCAAAATACCCAAATCTTAAACCATATGACCATGTGGGATTAAGGATTTAAGGTTTCTTTGTAAAACCATGTTCGTCCATTTTCTTCACTACAAATGAATGTTTTAATGGTGATTTTGTATTTGTCTAATTTTTTGTAAGAATTATCTATGAATAATGTTTTACAAAATAAACAGTTCGAATCGTTAAATACATTACGGAGTAGGCCTGCAAAACGTGTGTAAAAAATTGGGTAAATACTCTTTACAGATTTCACACTTAGATGCTGCATCTCTTGATCATATTATTTTGAACAACACATATATAGAGAACATCCATCAAACACTCTTCTAAGGATATATATGATCTGGTAAAGTATTGAAAAGTTGGTTGGTCACACATTTCGGCCAATAAAACTCATGTCACTCGTATGGTTGAGCTTAATTTCAGATAAGGTTAAAATTGATTCCGAATTAAGAAAGCTAATTAACAATAATCAATCAAGTGAATGGTGTAAAAAATACGTCTTTGTGACGCCTCCATTGCACTTGAGGTAGCCAAGCTTGCAGGCCCCGTCCTTCACTTCATGATCAGTTTTTCATTTGTCACCATATACATTTGGTACCTTATCCTTTTCAATTACTTGTCCATTTCTGCTTGTTTTATTTCAAGCCGGATCCTATTCGGGTCCACAATTAATCCACATTTCACTTGATTGACTACATAATCAAATCAAAATTTCTTAATTATTCTTCTTCTTCTTCTTCACACTCCGCATTATTTTTATTTAGATAATGCTAAAGACACTAAATTGTGAAGCCAAATTTGCAAACCAAATGATGTGTCACCAATAAGCAATAAGCATGTTAATCTAATTATCAACAACCACATCATCTGGTTTAAAATTTTGATCTCCGTATTATTGTTTTTATTTTTATTTTTATAAAGTAATGTTCAAAATTGAAATAATTTTTTTGTGGGGTCTTGAACCCAATATATTCTACCACCATTTTCCATGATTTCTTGTTTGAGACCACCTTAGCCTACTCATATGTCATGACAAATTACATAGTCATCGGAATATCAGATTTGCATATATCATATTCATAGGCAAATGGGCTCCCCCAAAAAATAATCCTCTCTTTTTATTTTTATTTTTTGGTCGTAAAATTGATATATACAAATCTGATATATAAAGTAAGGTCATGTTTGTTAATTGCACTTTCAAAAATATATCATGGATTATAAAGACAGATTGACTGCACCAATCCTCGATTTTTATGTATTAATTAGGAATACCAAACACATATAAGTAAGTTTAAGGGCTGCATTTAAAACGACTGAAACCGTTTTTAACGAAAATGTTTTAGAGTTCTAAAATCATTTAATTAAGTGTTTCCTACAACAATTGGTGCTTCTTGCATAAAGCACTTTAATTATTTTTAGGATTTACTTGCATTTTTATCAATTATTGGTTCCGAAAATATTTTCAGCAAAAACGCTTTCAACCATTTTAGAAGCACTTCCAAATAAGCCACTATGTTTAATTTGGCCCGGCGCGCATAATGCATTTAGATTTGAGGTTAGGACACAAACTACCTCATTTCAGTAATGCCCCTAGCATTTGGTGTAATCCTTGCCCATTAGAATTTTGCTATTTTTCAGCTCCATATAAAGCAGACTTTTTAAAATCTTATGTTCCATATATGTATTTTTCCATCCTTTGGGAGCAAGAGGAGTTAGGAGAACATGCATACTAAAAGGACGAAAGTTTTTCGTCTTTGCATTATGCAATGCACGAGCTCTAACTAACAAGATTTGACATAGAACTCATTAATGATATACCGTAAACACTATACAAAAGTCAGAAAACTGACGCCGAACAAAACTTACATTGAACGGGTTCGAATCCTTATCTTATTATAAATCTAACTCGTTACGCCGTCGTTCCTAAAGATGTTAGTGTTACTAGCTAGTTCAAAGACCATGCATGGATCTTAAGCTAGTTATAGTTATGATCAATGTTTAGAGCTTAGTATTAAAGAGAGGTAGCTAGGTAGACTTTGTATTTTCCGTTCATGTTTGTGCTCCAATTAGGGTTTTTGTTTTTTACGCGGAAAAACAAATAATTAACACTTGTTTCTTATGAAAATGTTAAAATTAAATTAAATTAATCAAATCCTTGATATATACTAGCGTATAAATATAAGTGACACAAGCATATCACCTACTCAAGATAAATTTTGAAGTAATAATATTGGTACATTTGCTTGAAAAGATCGATAAAAAAAACCTACCTACCTAGAAATCTTTGACAAGTTAGAGGCATGCCACCAAAGCATCTTTGACAAGTTTCAGTGATATGTATCGATTGCATGGTAATCAATCTACATTTCAACTAATTAATATGAGATCAAGTTATAAGCTCTCTATCCCTCTAGCTACCTAATCAATAATGTTACTAATTAAGTTTCTAATTAGTACGTAATTACCTTTTAGAAATTTTAGTAGTGACTTCCTGAACTGTGCAATATTGCTATGCAGACTTAAGGGTAATGCTATGGAGACTAAATTTGTAGACAAAATTTACAAACTAATGATGTGTCACCAATAGATAAGTACGTTTATCAACGTTTAAGTAATAAATCAATCATCAACTTTCATGTCATTTAGTTTTTAAAATTTTGTCTACAAATTTAATCCTCATAACATTACTCAATCCTTATTCATATTAGGTGGCAAATGTATTAAGGAATTAGTCATGGTGTCGTTGCTTTAGGTGGACATGCAATGTATGCCTTGATTTGTGTATCTAGACTTATCTAATTTGGACTCTAAATCGTTGGTGCGTTGAATGAGATTTATTTTGACAGTTTCTTTTAATCATTGAGTTTAGGCAAGATTAACTGCCGGATTATGTGCATGTTTGGCCATAGTTGGTATATATAATTTGCTGTTTTTCTTTTTGTTCCCTCTAAAATATTACTGCTGTACTAAGCAAGGTTGTAAGTTGTAACTACACCCACATTCTTGGTAGAAGGATGTTTAGTCAGTTTATACGATGCGTGGGTTAATTTTGTCTGTTGATGCATTATGAATCATGTGTACATCAACAATCAGATCATTCTTGTTGGATTTCACTGACATGATTGACACCTTTAAAACTCACAAGGTATCAACGATCAATATCATCTCTATCTTACCTACTACTAACTTTACTGAAGCCTTTTAAATCCACAATGTATCAACAGTCAATATTACCTCGACTCGACCCTCGCTCTAATTTGATTGACATCTTTAAAACCCAAAGTATCACCTCTGTCTGACTTACCTAATAGTAGCTTACCTAACCGTGCATCAACTATCAGTAAATAAATTTATTCACACATGACATTCTGTTCTAATAACTTACTGTCACGTGGCAAAAAAAAATTTAAATGTAACATTGTATTATTGAATCGAAACGGCATATATAACTTGATTGACTACTTTACTCTTGAAGTGATTTTAAATACAATTTTTGAAATTAAACTACGAGGATGACACTCTACTTTTTTATTTGATGCTTGCTTGTGCTTCAGCCCTTCATCTACCACGGTCAAAACTTCATAATCAACCGAAACCATCATCCACGCGAATTGACCAAAAACACCCTTCACCAGAAATCCAGACAGACAAAGTTATCCCTACACTCAAACAGCCACCAACAAACACGCAAATTACGGAAAAGACACCATTTTCAACTCGGTCGTATGGCATCAAAACTTTTTCCAGATCCGTTTGGGACGTTACAACCCCCGACATTAACACAGTCCCAGTTCCGTGATTTGGTCCCAACTTCGTGTCCTGGTTCCGTGCCGCCCTCATTTTCCAGGAAAACTCTGCCCCGTTTGGACTCCCAGAAAATGCAAAACACTGTCTGGAAATACAACTCACTATTCGCTAACCCCAAAACAAATGAATAATTTCTTCATCCAATTTTCCACGAATCCAAATTTTAATATTAGCAATAATCTACTCTAACACATGAAAGATTCGAAATTCAGTGCAGAGGAAGAACATACTAATACCGCCAATTTAAGCACAGGTATGCGGAATCTCAACTGTAGAGCTACATGATTTCTTTTCTTTACCATTTTCCATCCCATATTTTCTTGGGAAACAAGCAGAAAATTAAGACAAGAAGAAACAGAACACAGAATTTGGGACAAAGAAGTACAAATATTTTCCATTCTGCTACGACTGTAATTTCTAGCATTTCACTAGTATTTCTTCCCTTTACAACAACACCCCACCCCACAAAAAATAAAATAAAAAACGTATCGCTTCGCGTCGCTTCGTTTTAATCGATGTATTTACATAAAAGGCCAAAACATTTCCCTGAATTACCAAATCTACCAGGATCTCAGGTCGACGGAGTTCGAGTTGAGGAGGTCGTGCAGGTCGCACGACGGGGCCTGTCCGAGGCGGAGCGCCTCGAGCACGCGCTCGAAGACGATCACGTGGCATGGGATCCGGAGGACTCCCTTCTGCTCGTAGCCGTACTCCTGTGCCGACTTGTTGAGGAGCTCGACGAAGACCGGGTGGTTCAGGAGCTCGGCACTGACCACGAACCGCTCCATCTCCTCGCCGACATAGACCGGGACGTGGCCCTCGGGGACCACCGGCTCGCCAGCGGATGATGTCCGGCGCCGGAGCTTTACACGGAAGGACTCGTTTCTGCGCGGGCGGGCGGAGGCGTCGGCCGGGGAGCGCAGGAGGCAGTACTGCGATGAATCGGCGACGCGGGAGAGTCGGCGGATCAGCTGCTTCATGGTGATGTACGGACGGCGTAAGGAGATGAAGAGAGAGAATTGAAGAGTTTTTTAGAGAGAAAGAATTGGAGAAGTGGGTGTGAGGGGTGTGAGGTGCGGAAGGGAATATATAAAGGGCTAGAGAGAGAAAGAATAGAAGAAAGAGCGGAGGAGAGAGAGACTGTCATAGTGAAATGTTAAGACATGGAAAGGTGATGATGAGAGAACATTGGGAGGTACAATTAGGCGTACTTGGCAGGTACAATAAGTGAGACAGACTTTTCTTTTCTTTTTTTTACCTTCAAATTTTTAATTATTCTTAAACAAAACTATTAAATATCATGAATCATTTTTTATTTCTTGATTGCAGAATTATAATTAAATTACCGTATTGTCTTTCTTCTTTTGTTTTAGATTTTTGGTGGGCACCATCATTCGCCTTTGCAGGTAAAGACTGCAGGTTTGGCATTCATCTTTTAATCTCATTTTTTTTTCTATGTTTAAGAAATGCTAACGAGATTTTTTCAAAGTAAAACTCTCTATTAAACTCTTCGTCATTTTATGTTTTGATACAATATTTTACAATGTTGGCATGAATATTATGCAAAAAATATAAGATGGCGAAGAATTCATAGAAAATCTTACTTTTGAAAGAGTCTATTTAGCATTTCCCTTCTATCTGTATATTAAGTGAGAAAGGTAAATAACCAAATATAAAAAGCAAGTAAAATTGTAAAAACAAGAACAATTAAAAGAGAGTGAAAACAACTACGCTTCCTTTAATTTTCTTCACATTCTAGCTAATGTTGTAGTTACGCTTTCAATGTAGACAGCAACAAGTGTTGTGCTTTCCACTTTTTCTCTACCCGCTACTTGCACTTACCAAATTAATCAGCACTTGCTCGATGAAGGATGGTAATCCATGCTTGCTAACCATTTGCCCCTTCGCCTATCCATCCTCCTTTGGGCAAGTGACGATTCTTTGGATTTGGTAAGTGCAAGCAGTGAGTAGAGAAAAGTGGAAAGCACAATACTCGTTGCTAATTGCATCAAAAGAGAGATACGATCGAGAAGAAAAGACATCGGCGGTTCCGTCTCCTTCGAGTAACTGTAACGTCAATGTTTGTGAACGTTGGAATGTGGAGAAAATTAGGGAAAGCGTAGTTACTTTCATTCTCTTTTAACTGTTTAGTTTTTATAATTTTACCCTCACTTTCTATATACGTGTCTCTGGTTTTCTTACAGATGAAAGTTTCAAGGATTTTAAAAGTTTCACCATTTTTGCTAAAGTGATACACAGCAAGTTGCTATTGAAACTTTGCATGTTCCAATCATTTCTTGCCACAAAATCGGTGTTTTTTTTATAGATATAAATACATTCGAAAGAACATGCAGAAAAAAACATTCCAAAACCATTCCACAAAAAAGCAAACTGTCACGGGATGATATTACTGCATGCATGTATGCCATCTGCTCAAAGAAATCAGAGCAAACAAAATTTGGAAACTGCCTCAAAGTTGTCACTTTAAAAGTACCGCATTACCTTTTTTCCTTATTTTTTTGGTTTTATTTTTTCTCTCATATATGGATAACAATCCTAAAGAATTCGTTCTAAACCACTTGTAGTCAGAACCGGATGCATACTGGGATCTAGATGGTCCCAGAACCACCTAAAGTTTTGAAAATATAGATGTGAAGATCTTTAAAGGATTTTTCGAATGTTTTATACGGATCTCATTGTTCTTATCAAATGTTTGATGTAATACATGTCAGACATATTTTAATGGGTTGAGTGGACAACATCGGACAAACTCTCTCAATATCACTGATTAAGTGTTCGACGAAATGACTCAATAAATAAATTGATTTTTTTTTTTTACGCATTTCGCACTGTATTTAAAAAATAAGAAGAAGCCTTGAATTTGAACAGACCACCTAAATTCAAATACTGGATTTGCCACCGCTTGTAGTTACCATTATGTCATCATTTCTTTCTCTTTTTTATTTTTTTATTTTTTTTATATATGATCGATTTTGTCACCATGGAAATCGAAATTCTATGAAAAAGACAAGATTTTCTAATCCATGATAATAATATCAATATGCGTGGATTATGTTCTTCAATATCATTTTTTTTCCCACTTACAATTGGAGGGACTCAATAGTCAATCCCTTGATATAAGCCTAATTCTACATCATTAACGCATAAACTCTCGCCATCACTTGGATTACTTTTTATTATCAATTGGTTTTGGATAAAATTCCAAGTTCATTCGTAGTATTGCAGTCAACGGTTGCTCACTTGTAAAGTAACTGGCTACGCATGTTTCGCGTGTCTGACTTGTGTATCAATACGACTGAAGAATGAAGTCTATATGAGGATTTGAAAAGTCTATATTAAAAAGTTGTCATTTTGCACACTGAAGAGTAGATATTAATAAGGGAAATTTAATGAAAATCTCTCGGTACTATTTATTTTAACGAAAAATTATATTTTTACTCTAGAAAGTCACTCATGGTACTATTCACTTACAACACATTTTTATCATTTTCGTTAAAACTCAAAGTTTTCAAACCTTTTTTATTAGTTTTCCTTATTAATAATCAGTTGCTTCCTCCACTTTACTTGGAGGGGTTGTTATAATTAAAATAAAATCGAGAAAGTGGAAAATTGCGTTCTAAGATAGTACTAATACATGTCATGATGCAACATCTACAAGTCACCAATCCATGTATGAACTTTGTAATACAAAATATAAATATATATACATATAGACATATCATGAAATTTAATTGGGTCAAATAAACTTGGTAATAAAATTATTCCATTCAAATGAAATGAATTCTAATATTAATTGAGTTGATTTCTCATTTGAAATTTCCATGAGGGCCATATAATAAAGAGCAATATTTCTTATTTGCGTCCAAACTACACATTAATTCCAGGACTTGTTACTCATCCATAACACAAGCAATTACTTCACTTAGACTTACCTATTGAAATAATGAAAAGTGTTTTTCATAACACTTGGCTCTAAAAACCAACACCACAATCAGTGACAAATTCAGGGTTAGAATCTCGAAGGGTCCCGGTGTTTAAAACATGTTTTTAGATAGAATCAATGCGAAGCATTCAAAAAAATCATATTCACTAAGGCATTTCGTTGAACACTTGATGAACTTGTTATCATCAACCAAATCATGTTTCACACACGTCATCACACATGTCAACAGATATTGACATGTGTCAAAGCAATTTGATAAGTGATATAGAGATAATTTGTCAAGTGTTGTCAACGCAACTGGTTGAGATATAGTTAGCAGACATTCATCAAATACCTCAGAAGACCTTCACATGTATATTTTTCGGATCCCGAATGATCCTAAGAGTACCTTAGTCTCAGAGTCCATCCGCCTTTGACCACAATTAAATTTGTGTGTATAGTTTGACACGTCAAATTCTCTATGACCTAAACCATAGGCTCAACCTTGGTTATTTTCCCTCTAAAGTTTTTTCATATTTACCTTCTATTTTCTAGTTGAAATGCTAGTAAAAAAAGGCAAAACAAAGGGAGTATTATATATAGAGACAAAAAAATTAACTATATTTTAAGAAATTCCAATGACTTTTAAACATGTCAATGAGAGACAAAAACTTAAAAATAATTAAAGCCCAACCCAAAAATATGGAAACAATGTTTTAAAATACTAGTCATACCCCTAAGGCTTTAGGGCAGCTGATAGAACTCAACCCTCACAACTCCAACAAAATTAATATGTGCAATAAGCTTAACCCATCCTCGACTATTTCTATATAATTAGTTTTGAAATTATATGTAGAATCAATTTGTATCCTTTATTACCATAATCAGTTCAACTCATTCTCAACCATTTTTGCAGAATCAGTTGAACCCGTCTTTAACCATTTTTGCAGAATCAGTTCAATCAATCCTTACCCACTTTTGCAGAATCAGTTCAATCAATCCTTACCCACTTTTGCCGAATCAGTTTAATCAGTCCTTGATCTTTTTTGTAGAATCAGTTTAACCCGTCTTCGACAACTTTTGCAAAATCAGTTAAACCTGTCATCGACCATTTTTGCATAATCAGTTCAACCATCGTCAACAACTTTTGCAGAATTAGTTCAATCAGTAATTGATCATTTTTGCAGAATCAGTTTAACCCGTTCTCGACCATTTTTGCATAATCAGTTCAACCCTTATTCGGCCATTTTTTGCAAAATCAGTTTAATCTTTCCTCGATTATTTTTGCATAATTAGTTCAATCAGTCCTTGACCATTTTAGCAGAATCATTTCAACCCGTCTTCAATCATTTTTGCAGAATCAGTCCAACCTGTCATTCACCATTTTAGCATAATCAGTTCAACCCATCCTAGAGTATAGGAGTGGGCATGGATTGGTTCGGTGTGTTTGTGGTGAAACTAAAACCGAAACCGAAACTGAAATTTTTTATAATTCAGTTTGGTACGGTTTTGAAGCTTGAAATAATATGGAACCAAACCATTTGGTTGCGGTTCGGTTTCAAATTATTTGCAAACTAAATACATTATGTCATCAATACAAAAAAAGAAATCCATGATCACCATATTAAAATTCAAGTTGAAATAAAGATTAATAACTATCAAATGAAAATCAACCACATAATAACTTGTAAAGATTTAAATCACATCTTTGTAGACTTTGTTATATAACTAAAATTAGAAAAGAAATGCTGCACGGAAATAGATGTGTAGCAATTACAGCTCCAAAACTCGTTTTACGCAAGGAATGAATTGAATTTGAACAACAACAAATCCATTACCCCTTCCAATTATCTTCTCCACTTCAACTTGTTTATCTTTAAGATTAATTCCCATGGGTTTGAGAACCTTGCATGGCAGCATTACCAGTCCCTTCACCAATAAAACTCAAAAGTATCTTGGAAAAACCCAGAACCTGTACTCCTTCTGCAACTCGCGAAGGACCAAGCTCCAGTCCACTGCAACCTTAACAATCCAAGGCCCTATGCAACGCTCCTCAAGCTCGCTGCCACACTGTTCTTCGCACCGCAGCCTGCATCGTTAGCCTTGCGTCTGCCCAATTTGGGAACTGCAAACAACACGGT